TTACATTTGACAAGCATGGTTTACAATAAAATTTTACAATATATTTTCTCTTTTCAGCAAAAGAAAAATATTTTATTTTGGGCTATGATAATCATGCCATCTCTATAATATTATGAAATGTAAAGGGCTCAAGAAGAGTGTGGCCTGCTCTATCCTATTTCAAACTTCAAACTTTTTTTTTCATATTAACTCAATTTGAATTAGGGTGGATTCCTTCTTGTTGGATTGGGAGACTTCAATTTTCATTTATATAAATGCAAGTTTGGGTTGTCTGTCTTCAAACAACCAAAGCAATGCCTGCATGTACATGGAGGGTCAGGTCACTGAAACCCAATTGATTCTATTATTGGTTCAAGGGGATAGAAGAGCTCAGGTAGCAAAAGGATTAACCATAGAATAGATTACATAATGCGCATGCTCAGGGTCCAAGCTAAGCTAAAGAAGAAAATGAACCAGTTTCCACAGTATGATTTGGAGCACATGTCTAATATTTCACAGAGAACATTGCAAACTGGTTTGAAGTCCTGAACTATGGATAGGGAATCAGAGCAACTCTGGAATGAAATCAAGTAGTTAATAATAGATGTGAAAAAAGACTAACAAAGATAATGAGAAAAAAAGCAAACCAGAAGTCAGAACAAATGGTGGAAATTACCCAGAAGAGAAGCCAAAGAGCAATATTATAATGACATCTACAAAAAACATCAAACATGGAAAAACAAAGGAAGTCTTCCAAAAGATCTCCAAACTCAAAAATCTCAGATCACTTTGTTAAAGAATGCTAATGGCCAGATTAACTGATTCAAAGAAGATCAAACAAAGATGGAAGGCATATACTTAAAGTCTGACAGAAAAGATGTCAACATCCAAGCGTTTTAGAAGATATTTCCAACTTTCATGAAACACTATTAGTTAAAATATGAAGTTGGGTCAGCACTTCAATCATTACCAAAGTGGAAAGCCACAGGAACTGGCAATACCCATGGAAATATAGAAAGCAACAGAAGAATTGATAAAGGTTTTAACCAAATTATGCCAGAAAATTTGGAGAATATCACAATGGCTCATCAATTGGGAGAAGTCAATCTACATTCCAATTAAAAAAGGAGACTTAGAACATGAAAACTATTATACAACACACTTAATTTCACATGCTAGCAAAACAATGCTTAGGATCATCCAAACCAAATTAAAGCCCACATGAAAAAGAGAAAAGCCAGAGGTTCAAACTAGCTTTAGAAAAGGTCAAGCCAGCATTATAAGACATTATTGCTGATGCATGCTGGATAATTGGGAAATTAATTACCACCAAGGAATACCAAAAAGAAGTCAGCATGTACACTGATGGTTATAGAAAGACCTCTCATTGTGTCAATCATATTAACCTAACACCTGTTTTAATTAGATATTTTTAGTATAATAAAATACACATATGAACAAAGATAGAAAATAAGAAATAAAGAAGAAATTGAAAACAACAAAAACATACACATGAGCCTTCCATTCTTTCTATCAAACAGTTGTCATCTTAAAACTTTTTCCAACCTCTTAATTTCAGGCATCTGACTGTTCTCACGCAAAACCTATACCCAGGTCAGGAAGCCACCGTACAATCAGAATATGGCAAAACAGACCAGCTGCAGATTGGCGAAGAAGTGAACAAAGCTGTTTGCTCTCCCCTTATTTATTCTCTCTAAATATCGAGAGGGTTCCAATTAAGTTATGGTAAAAACCACAGAGCAAGAGGTTGAATGCTTTGATATGTACAGTATATAAAGTTTTTATACAAAATATATACTCCTAATGTGTTAAACCTAATATATATATAAACATTACGTTATATTACAGATGAAACTCAAAAAATTAGAATATCGTGCAAAAGTTCATTTATTTCAGTCATGCAACTTAAAAGGTGAAACTAATATATGAGATAGACTTGTTACATGCAAAGCAAGATAGTTCAAGCCATGATTTGTCATAACTGAGATGATTATGGCTTACAGCTCATGAAAACCCCAAATCCACAATCTCAGAAAAGTAGAATATTCTATGCAATCAATAAAACAAGGATTGTACATAGAACAATATCGGACCTCTGAAAAGTATAAGCATGCATATGTACTCAGTACTTGGTTTGGGCCCCTTTTGCAGCAATTACTGCCTCAATGCGGCATGGCATGGAAGCTATCAGCCTGTGGCACTGCTGAGGTGTTATGGAAGACTAGGATGCTTCAATAGTGGCCTTAAGCTCTTCTGTATTGTTCGGTCTCATGTCTCTCATCTTTATCTTGGCAATGCCCCATAGATTCTCTATGGGGTTCAGGTCAGGTGACTTTGCTGGCCAATCAAGCACAGTAATCCCATGGTCATTGAACCAGGTTTTGGTGCTTTTGGCAGCATGGGCAGGTGCCAAGTCCTGCTGGAAAATGAAGTCAGCATCCCCATAAAGCTCGTCTGCGGAAGGAAGCATGAAGTGCTCCAAAATCTCCTGGTAGATGGCTGCGTTGACCCTGGACTTAATGAAGCACAGTGGACCAACACCAGCAGATGACATGGCTCCCCAAATCAACACAGACTGTGGAAACTTCACACTGGACTTCAAGCTTCTTGCAGTGTGTGCCTCTCCATTCTTCCTCCAGACTCTGGGTCCTTGGTTTTCAAATGAGATGTAAAAGTTGTTCTCATCAGAAAAGAGGACTTTGGACCACTGAGCAACATACCAGGTCTGTTTTTCTTTAGCCCAGGTAAGACGTTCCTGACGTAGTTTGTTGTTCAGGATTGGCTTGACAGGAGGAATACAACATTTGAAGCCCATGTCCAGGATCCGTCTATGTGTGGTGGCTCTTGATGCACTGACTCCAGCCTCAGTCCACTCCTTGTGAAAATCCCCAACACTTTTGAATGGCCTTTTCCTGACAATCCTCTCCAGGCTGCGGTCATCCCTGCTGCTTGTGCACCTTTTTCTTCCACACTTTTCCCTTCCACATAACTTTCTATTAATGTGCTTTGATTCAGCACTTTGGGAACATCCAACTTCTTTTGCAATTACCTTTTGCGGCTTTCCCTCCTTATGGAGGGTGTCAATGATGGTTTTCTGTACAACTGTCAGGTCAGCAGTCTTTCCCATGATTGTGCTTCCTACTGAACCAGACTGAGAGACCATTTAAAGGCTCAGGAACCCTTTGTAGGTGTTATGGCTTAATTAGCTGATTAGAGTCAGACACTTTGAGCCTAGAATATTGAACCTTTCCCCAATATTCTAATTTTCTGAGATTGTGGATTTGGGGTTTTCATGAGCTGTAAACCACAATCATCTCAATTATGACACATCACGGCTTGAACTATCTTGCTTTGCATGTAAGGAGTATCTCATATATTAGTTTCACCTTTTAAGTTGCATTACTGAAAATTGCATTACTTTTGCACGATATTCTAATTTTTTGAGTTTCACTTGTATATATTAAATTTATAAATGATATCATATCTTTAACAAAGTTACAATTTCCCTTTTACCCCGTGTCCTTAATTATCTACCTTTTCTAGATTAAAAGCAGAATTACCATGATTCTTTCCTTGTCTTCATTTTAAAGCACTGAGAATTCTGTTCCTTTTATTCAGGCTTAATCTCTTTTTACCTTACATTTAATCCTATACTATCCTCCACTTTTAGCAGTTAAGTCCTACTGAAGTTTGAATTAGCACTGTTTCCTTTTCCTGAATTGCTTCTCCATCTTTCAGTCTTCATTAGATTGTAAGAAGGAAAAATAACAATTACTTCTTGCTGACTGATTGTAGTTGGTCTGCATTTCTGGAAAGATTATGAGGCTTTCAGGGTCTGCTACTTCTTTCATAGTTATAATTTCAAGGTCGTTGCTCATTCCAACTACTTTAGTTTTGCCTCTTTCACACATAACTGGCTTTAATTTTCCAACACAATTGTCAGCCCTTCCAGGCAAACCGGACAAGAAACCCAATTAGATGAGCTAAGTCTACTTTGCCATAATATTACATTAATAGACTCCTGCAAATTTGAAGACAGACTTCCCACCCCATTTTAACTGATCAGTTAGGGTGGGTCTTTCCTAAGTTTCTTTCTCTGACCATTAAACCACTGGGGGCTCCTACCTCTCTTGTTCTGATTGTTTCCTAGGTAGCATTTGTCCACCCTATCCCCCAAGGTCATCCACACATTCCATTACAACAATTTCCTTTCTCTCTTCCATCAATAGCATACCCTATGCCTTCAGCATTTCTCTTTTATATCCCTTCAGTACAGGTGTGGTGCTTTTCTCTCTTAAAGTACTAGGAACCACAAACTATAAGGAGAAAAAAAATCACACTATCAGCCTTGAGTCTTTCCTTACACACATACACACACAGATATATATGTGTATCTATCTCTGTACATATATCTGTCTCCTGTCTATCTGTCTGTCTGTCTATCTATCTAGAAGCTGGATTAGAAGACAGATATGGTTTTAAAGTTGGAGGAAGAAATATCAGTAGCCAGCATTACATTGATAATATTACTCTAATAGCTGAAAATGTAAAAGAATTAAAAGCTCTAATAATAAAAATCAGAAGTACTGTAGAAAGTATGTGATTAAGAGTAAATATAAAGAAAACACAATTAATGACAAGTACAGCAACTAGCTGGGTTAGAAAAATAGGGTGCCAACAAGGTAGATGTACTTCCCTTCTGGAAGACTTTAGATCATGAGGGAAATCTATGACCTTTCAAGTGTTCCTGAACTACAATTCTCAGCACTATCAGGGTCAATACTGAGATGTCTTGAAGTTCTATATTTCTGGTCTAGCTTGCTCAAGGTTTCAAGTTCTCATGACCAGTTTGGTTTTCTTCTGAAGAAAATTCATTTGGTGAATTGTTTAAATTTCACTATCTCTAGAAAGCTTGTTCTTGATTAATTGGCAGCAGCATTTGAATCAAACTTAGCAATTTACTGAAGCTAGCCAGCACACCAAGGAAACAGTGTACTTACATCTCATTCACTTTTTCTTCTGGACCCTGCACTTGTCCAGTAACCGTTCCTTGTCTGGTATTTTTAACCCAGCCAACTACACCCACTTTCCTAGCTTTATCCTCTGTGTACTGGTTTGGAAAACAAACAGAAGAAGAAGATATAATCAGCATGCATTCGGGATTTAAAACTGTGACAGTACAGGCAGTCCTTGAGTTATGACGACAATTGAGTCCAAAATTTATGTTAAGTGAGTTTTGCCCCATTTTACGACCTTTTTTATCACAGTTGTTAACTGAATCACTGCAGTTGTTAAGTTAGTAACATGGTTAAATGAATTGACTTCCCCACTGATTTTGCTGGTCAGAAGGTTGCAAATGGTGATCACATGATTCCAATCAGTATAAATTTGAGTCAGTTGCCAGGATTTCAATTTTAACATGTGACCCACAGGGATGCTGTAATAGGCATAAGTATGAAAAAGTTATAAGTCACTTTTTCAGTGCCGTTGTAACTTCAAATGGTCACTGAATGAATGATTGTAAGTCAAGGACTACCTTTACAGTTCAATCTCAAAACTTCAGTTTTATTCAGTGATTTGTCCTGAGAAAAGAACTACTGCAAAATGAGGTTTCCCTCTTCCAATAATGAAACAAAAAAATGCTGAGGCACTAGAGAGAATGCAGAGAACAGCTACAAAGATGATAAGGAGCCTGGAGGCTAAACCATACAATGAACAACTAAGGGAACTAGGTATGGGCAGTCTAATGAAGAGAAGGTTTGGGGAGATATGATAGCAGTCTTCCAATACTTGAAGGGTGTCACAGGGAAGAGGCCATCAATTTATTCTCCATAGCACCTGAAAGAAGGACAAAAAGCAATGAGTGGAAGCTTGTCAGAGGAAGATTTAACCTGGAAATAAGGAAGAATTCCTGACAGTGAGAACTATTAATCAATGGGGCAGTTTGCCTCTCAGGGTCAGGTGCTTCATTACTTCAGATTTTCAAGAAAAGTTTGGAAAAATAATTTCTCCAGGATGGTATAAAGAGTTGCCTTGGGCAAGGTATTGTACTAAAAGACCTCCAATATCCTCTCCAGCCCTATAATGCTGGATTCAAATACTTAATTATTTTATCAAAATATAAAATACAAAGAAAAATAAAGATAACAGGAAAATAAGGGAGGAAAAGGGAAAGAGAGAAAAGTGTACGGCAAAAGGAAAAAGAAAAAGAAAAGCATTGATTTTCAACTTGTTTTGATGCAGTAGAATAAAGTAATAACATAAAACCTCAACTTTTTACTTATACAGATTTTTGCAGAAAAACTGAAACAAGTAAGGAAAAAACCCCTTCTAATTAATACACAGCCTCGCTGCATCTGATAACTGTTTAGAAATGTGTCTGCTTTAAAAAAAAGGTTTGTGTGTAGCACAGCACAGATAATAATATAAACACTAATATAAACACTATTCAGATTAGGCCATCAAGAATATGACACATCTTTTGCAACTATGCTCTTATCTTCTCTAGATACTCTGCCCCAATCCGAGTCCTCTAATGAAGCATTTCACATGAATGCTGCAAATGTTATGAAATTTAAGATATAAGCTATGGTTTGTATTTACTTCAAGATACAATAAGTGCCAGGCTTTAAAATAAGTTTGTTCTGTGCCTGGCACTTACAGTTTCAAGATAAGACATAAATGATGCTTCTGTGGTAGGAGAGAGAAAATTCATACACGGAACAAATATTCATCTGGATTAATTTTTTTAAGTGAGAACCAAATAACTGTATAATTTGCACTTTGTGCCCAAAAGAATTTGGATTATGTCCATTCAGATGGTTATACTGCATTTTTTAAATAATGTTCTGAAATATTTTTATTTGAGAGAATTATCTTTTTTGCAGCTAAATCCTGCAGGAACAGTACAACATATCAGTCCTGTTGATCTTGTAGCCACTGCAAAGCAATTTTGCAACACACTACATACTTCAGAGTGGAAGGGTCCAGAAATAATAAGAGTGTTAAAAATATTTTCAGCATTAAAGTTCTCATTTTTGAAATATGTGAATTTCTGTTTCAGGCACTGTGTACCTGCTTGATCAGCGTGTAAAATTTACACAATGAATGCCAAAATGATGAATCCCATGGAAAAACCTGATTTGTGTTAACCTTCCTCAGCTTGCCTTAAAGTTGGATTACCATTTAATTTCCTGTTCATTTCCAAGGCTTCTTCACACAGAAGTGGGCTTGACACTTGTTCACCATGACTACTCGTTTGGAAAAAACCTTGCATAGAAAGTATTTTCTAATGCCAATTTTTTTCCATATTTCATTGTTTTCCATTTCATTTTCAATTTTCATTCTCCACTGCTGAAAATACAAGAAGGTGTCTTTTGACCTTTGGTTGTAAAATTGTAGATATCCCAATTTGAAATGCCTCTGCTAATACAGTACTGTCACTGTTTCAACTTTTCCCAACACTTCAACAATCTCTACTTTGCTTTGTAAAGTGAACAGAGTCTGCTTGTGTTTCTTGATCATTATGAAAGATGAGCTTTCCCGTCTTTCCAGGTTGCACAATCTTAAATATGGATAATGGGAAATGCAAGATTTCCATGTAACCTTGGACCCTTTGTACAATACTGGTACCTTTTTTCTTATGTGGCTAAATAAAACATTAAACAGATTAGGATATTTATATAACTAATGGTCATAAAATCAGGGTTTAGTGTCAAAGGATTTCCTCTAAAGCACACATTACAGTTATATGATACTTAACTCTCCAGATTAACACAGAAACTTTGAACTGCAGATTTTTGAAGTCTCTGGCACAGGTTTTCTATTCTATTCTCAAAAAAGTTACAGAGACGTGATGTAAAGATGATATACTTCATGGTGCCTTACCATTCTGAAACAAACCCCTGAGAAAGAAGAATACAAAAAATAAAAATAAAACTTTAAATATTTGCTCAATGGAACAACATTTCATTTTTATTTATAAAACAGCATTATAACAACCAACCAAAGATTGCCAGACAGTTTTTACTTTGATAGAAGGTTTGGTAAAATGAAAAGTGATTAAAAGTAACACATTTTGGGAAACAAAGAAAATTGGAAGAACAATGGAAGAGCCAATGAGATCCAGATGTATTACTGAATTCAGTGGAAGATTTGTCAACTGGGCTCTACTGTTAATGAGATACACATCTGGGTTATAGAACTGTATTTGGGGCTAAGGGTAATATTGGAAAATAATTTCTCACTATGATATTCAATTGTTTTTGCTTAAGTTGTTGTATAGTTTCTTTATTAGGTTCTTCTGGGATCATTTCAGAATTGATAAACAAAGCAAAATAAAAAACTTATCACAGTTTATCATCTGTATTTTTATTATGCTACTTGGTTGCTGTTCTATTGATTTTACTCAGGTACATATAGGGTAGGAAAATATTTTAATAAAATAATATATTCAATTATCTTTCACTTATGTAAATATGTTTAAGTTCAAGTGTTTCACTCATATAATCATAACTCACAATTGGAATATGTCACTTTGGATAGTGAGATGGGCGGCATATAAATTACATAAATAAATAAATAAATAAATAAATAAATATTTAGCAGTTAATGGAATTACAATATCATACATTTGTTAGATAGAAAATATTTAAATCAGAACTATTACATAGATTCGCATATAGAAAGAGAGAGTGCCTATCATTTTACAAGATGCATCAAATTGTACAACAATTCAGAAATAGTGATATATGTACAGAGAAGTATAGCTTTTCTTTACATGTATGGTGGAGACATACTCTCCATTCTACATCTTTTAGATGTGGAAGTCAGCTATGTACTTTCATAGTTTTACATAGCTATGTACTTTCAGAGTATTCCTAACTGTGGTATGTCCTACATGGAAGCCCTGTCGGTGTCTATTTTTATATTATTTTCCTACCAGGAAAATATTTTATTATGGTTCTGTTATTGCACTCAATCAATTTTAATCCTCCACTCTTCATTTTAATTTAGTTGTCAGATATTTTAACACTTTTGTTTTAAATTAAGGATATTGCATTTTTAGTTCTATTTTTATTATTGTGGTTTTAACTGTTTACTCCCTACATCAGAGAGGGCCATATTTTGATGGGCAAAGCTCTTAGCCATTTCTCTTTTTTCCTGGCTTATTTGGATGTGCAGTCATTTCAGTGACAAATCGACAATCATTTTACCCAGAATGAGTGGCTTTGAGCTGAAGAGGAATTTTATGAAAACAAACAGAAGATTGAACTATCCCTCAAAGTATGTGGCTAAAGCATGGAGGGAATGCTCAGTCATCATCCATAATCACTGCTCAAATACAATGTTTACAGTGCCTTCCCTGAAGACAGAACACATATATTGGTCAAGTTATTGCTGTTCCTACTACATCTTTGTATTTCACTGAAGTGTGTTTGTGCAGTTTTGAAAGATGGCTGATGTGGATAAATCCCTTATAGAATAGAATTCTTTATTGGCCAAGTGTGATTGGACACACAAGGCATTTCTCTTGGTTCAAATGCTCTCAGTGTTTATAAAAGAAAACATACATTCGTCAAGAGTCAAGAATCATGAGGTATAACACTTAATAATAGTCAGAGGGTGCAATAAACAATAAATATGTATAAAATGTATTAAGAAAAAGACTATTCTCTCCGATGACTAGCTTTTGCACGAAAGAGGATTTAATAATGTAATCTTTCACTGCCAGTTTAAAATGAAAATTTATCTCCCGTTTTTAAAACACGTGCTAATCCCAGAAAGCAGTTGAACAGCTCTCCTGCCAAGGTAGCACGGGAGGTAATGGTAACTTGTAACTGGGACATTAATGGAGCTGGGGGCATGGAAATAGTGAGTGCACCTGCCGCGCAGCCTTGCCGGCTCAATTCACTTTTAAGACTAATTGAGCACAGAACAGGTTTGAGCCAGCACTGCCGGCATGATCTGGCAATTAAATTCGCTTTATATAAACGGTTCTCCTTGCCAGCTTTTCTTTGTAACCTGAGAGACAGTTCGTGCGCTCTGAAGTTATTTTTTGCCAGCGCAGTTCTCTTCCTCCTGACCCCTTTCCTAATATTTAGTTTCCGTATCTTTTTCCGCTGCTCACCTTGAACCCGGCCGAAAACCTCGTAATCCACCGATTTGAGGATCCGGGACATAACGGTTGCAGGGAAAGAAGAGTCAGTCACTCGGGGTAGAAAAGCACTGAGAGCCAACTCAGTACTCTAACTCAGAAACTCAGCCAGCAAAGGCCGCGACGGAAACTCGAAAGGCTCAAGATTCATAAGAGAGCGATAGCCCAACCGGCTAATCCCAGCCAATTCGATAGGCTGAATCCACGCCCCCCCCCCAAAAAAAAGTGGGGTGGGTGGGTGGTGGTGGTTAAAGAGGGAACTTTAAAGAGCTTGGCTCGATGTAACTAGGAGATACGATGGGGAAAAAAGAGCCAAAACATAGAAATAGAATAACAAAGTTGGAAATGAGCTTGGAGGTTTCTAATCCAACCCCCTGCTTAGGCAGGAAACCCTTTAACATTTCAGACAAATGTCAGATCTTTCTTAAAAACGTCCAGTGTTGGAGCATTCCCAACTTCTAGAGGCAAGCAAGTTGTTCCATTGATTAATCTATAGGAATATTATTCTATTAGGGCAAAAAAATTGTGTATTTTGAAAATAAATCAGAATTAACCAACATTAAAATCTTAACCAGCGACACATAATTGGGAATCTTTGAGAATAAGAATGGTAGAAGTTATTTTTCTAGGCAAAAGTCCATCTTGGAACCACCTTGATACCCACTTCCAAAACATCCCAATCAATGAAATCTCACTGGTCACTGATGAATAGTAATTTTTTCCCATAAAAATTCTCATTTCCCAGACAGCAACACCAAGTTGCCAATCGCATATAAAATTAGCAGGTAAGATCTCTAAACATTCTGGTAGGATCTGATTATGGCAAGATCTGAAACGTTCATGGGGACAGTTCTGTTTCTCCTTTTATACCATCCTGCTGGTAATTTTATCAAATCACTAAGAGTTTGAAGATATACACATTATTATATTATTATGGTAAAAGTTATCTGTACACCGTGCATGTTTTAGCTGTTGTGCATAAGCAATAGCACTTAGACTTACATATTGCTTTACAGTCCTCTCTATAGGGTTTACAGAGTCTGCATATGGCCAACAATCTGGGTCCTCATAAGGCTTTGGCTGGTGATAAAGAGATTTTATCAAACACGAGAAATTTTTAAAAAATCCAAATCTCTTATAGTATTATTCCTCTAAGCCAGGGGTGTCAAACTTGCGTTGTCACGGTGGCATCATGTGACATATCGTGACTTTTTTCCCTTTGCTAAACCAGGTGTGGGCATGGCCAGTGCATGATGCATTCGGTCTGTGGGCCGCAAGTTTGACAGTCCTGCTCTAAGCAGTATCTTTTGATCTTCAAAATATTTAATTCAAACAAGCAAAGGTTAGCTTGTCCATTTAGAGCAGGGTTGTCAAACTCGCATCATCACGGCATTGTCATGTGACATATCGGGACTTTTTTCCCCTTTGCTAAACTGGGTGGGTGTGGGGCCAGCATGTGACGCATCCAGCCCATGGGCCATGAGTTTGACACCCCTGGTTTAGAGGAAGTCTAATTTTAATAAAAAACATTTTTAACTTCACTCATGCTTAATGAAACTTGCCTCATTCTTGGCAAGGATGGAAATGAAAAGTGGGGCTGTAATGTTTTATTAATCAAATTCTTTAGATTATTAAACACAGGAAACTTCCAATTAATTGCAAAGATTTGGAGCCTTTAATAAACTTTATAAAATAGGGCAGCAACTACAGTTTAGAAGTGTATTTCCTATTAACTCACTTAAGAAATGCTTTTTCCAAAAGGGCATATATTATAATCAAACATGCATCCTCTAAAAATGAAACATGCGATTTAAAAAATTCTAAACATGTTGGCATATGCAAATTAATAAAGACTGAAAAATTAACAGATCATTAAAACGTATATTTCTTTAAATCAGACAATATCCCCAGTTAAATGAACCTCTAGACAATGTTTCAAAGAGGACAAAGTGTTACGTTGAGAAGAAACAGAAGGTCTTAGATAAAATTAGAAGCAAAGCAGAACAAATAACTAACATGCACAGAGTATTTTAGGCATACTGGTGTCTCAAAGGCACTTAGAGGATTGTGCTTTGCAAACTTTACTAGATATCTAGTCAATATAAATTTCTTCTTGAACAAAATACAGGATAAGGCTCTCTTCTATCTTTCTGAGTAGAAAATAATACCCTGTGGAAGCCTCCTGGCTCACACAGCTGAGGTGTGAGATAATGCTCAGAGGGGTACTGTATACTAACAGATCTTATCCACATTTTGTTCTATTCAATTTCTGGATGGAAGTTTGCTTTGCATTTTTTTAACCTGGTGGGGCTGAAGAGGAAGCAATTAAGCAGCAGCAAGAGGTGATGGAAGACAATTACTTTCAATAATATTCTACAGTAGTACCATGTAATAACTGAAATAAATCACTATTAGCAGGATTGGAATTTTAAATATTGTTAGGACAGGTGTCAATAGGAAGGATTTTGATAGGAAAGGTTTTGATAGACAGTTAAAATTCTAGATGTTGATCTAATTTCTGACAATAAGGATTTTGTGGCTATTTTTTGGCTATTGCGTATGCTGCTCTACTTGTCTAGTCAGTAAGAGTTCAATGTTAGGCAGTTTTCAGCAGTTACCTATTATTACTCAGCTGTACATATATTGTACAGTAGCGCTCAGGAGCATCACACACTAAAACGTACTAGAACCAGGCCAAGCTTATACAGGTAGTCTTGAACAAACTAAATTTAGAGAACTTTGTTCTCATGATCAGAATTAAATCGAAGACTGAATGTACCATTTTACCTAGAAGATACCAAAGCAGCTTTACTGGCTTACTACAGAAGATAGCTACTTATAGAAACAAAATATTCTATCTCTAGTCTTTTCTCATTACAAATGGCATGTGGTGCTTTTCTAAAATTTGATTCTGTTTTGTAATGTTTATTTCCTTTCATCTCTCAATTCTTTCTGCTTGGTTTAGCCTTATTTATAAGGTTGCCTGACTCCATTACAATTCTGGGCAATATAAATTCAAAATAACTCAATGTTAAATATAATGTTAAAATAACTCAAAAATACAAACAAAACAACAGGCTTTCTCCCCTCTTTAGCACAGAGTGCAAGGTATAAATATAAAGGGGGCAAAATCACTCTATAATCTGGGGTTTAATTATTAATTATGAATAATCTTATATTAGAACAATTATTATTTTAAAACATTAAAATATTTAAAAACCCATTTCAAATGCATCTAACAGAAATAAAAAAGTTTAAAAATAAGTAGACATAATGTCCCTTCTTGACTTTAACTCTCCTTTTTGGTTTTTGGAAAAGTTTTTTTCTCGATTAAAAGAGGTAAAATTAAGGGGAAAAGTATAAAAGCTCTGCTATAGATTGTATTACCACAGACTAAACATGACTTATTTAAAATCACTTCAATTGACACTTTGTAGTCACAGTTGTTTCCTAGGAAACGGGAATTAATTCTTGCCCTTTTCATCCAATAATGGCAACCATGTGGCTGCCCAGGACCACATGAAAGAATTAAAGGAAGATGGAAGTGTGTGGGTTGTCTTTGACTTGAAATTTGAAGGTGGTGGTTTGCCATCAATTACACCAACCAGAAGCGTGAATCAGTTTAATGCATTTTCAGTAACAACCCACTGTTTCTGACAGCAAAAGAAGCTGTCATTAACAATTCAGGATTCTGAAGAACTCCCTCCACCCAAGCAGGCTTTTCAGTTCAATTTTGGATAGATTCACATCGCAATCAGGTTTCATTTAAGATAGTCACTTTCACTGGACAATGAGTTAAACATTCAAAGAGCATATACTATATCTAAACTATATCTTTGTATACAGAAACAAAGGAAAATTGTTTACAGAAACAAAGGAAAATTCCTCTACTTTTTTTCTAAAATTGCCGATGCGTAGACATATTTTTTTAATGCAGATAGTCTTTCAGCAACTTATAATACATTTATTAGTACACTAATTTCTTTTATCTTTTTCAACAATCTACATTTGTGTTTTTAGATCTTATTGTCCAGTTACATATTAGGCCGTGTCTCATTGGACAGAAGTGATTATAAGATCATCTCAAATGATGAAAATAAGTCACTCTAATTTCTAATTGTACTGTACAGATATTCCCCAAACAGCATATTTGCTTCTCTCCGTTTCTTCTCTGAACCTGGAATTTAGTATTACAGATGTCTAACGTGCAACTAAATTTACATCAGATCAAACCATGGCAAACATAACGGCTGGTTCATACTTAATTCTTATGCCATAAATAATATATAAATAATATAACCACCATACAATAAATTAAAATGAAGCAAATTATGCTATGGTTTAGTTTTCTCTCAAGACACTTTTATTTAACCTTGATTAGTCTCAGGCAAAAAGTCCGCACTGCCCATACTTAAAAACTGATGATGCTGGTGTTCGTTGATTTAAAACAGAAGGCTGTTGGGCGCAAAAGTGCGTTGGCAGTTTGCAGAGTTGATAACCAGAGCAGTGGCAATTTTCTTCAATGGAGCAAATGCATTTCTTTCAGTTTTAAAATTTGGATCTCTTCATTTGTTCTCCAGCTGAGTACCAGGAAATGACAGGTGGTAATGGTGCTGTTTTGAATACTCTCAGTCAGTATTCCTCCCACTTAACAAGAAAGAAAAAGTTGGTGTTACAAGCTGTGCAAAGTAGAATTTTAGACTCAAGAGATATTAAAGTACCCATTATGTGAGTCAGGAACCGACTGTGCCTTTTTCACGTTCAATGACAACTAAAATGTTGCAAAAGCTGAACAGATGGATTTAGCTCTGATTCATAGCCTATGAAGTTTATTATAAAAGTATTCTTTCTGGCTCAATTAAAAAAACATTAGAAAGGAGTAAAATTTTTCAATTATTTCCTTTTTAGAAACAAAAATGCAGGGCTCACATCAATGATAGACTGTTGAAATACCCCCTTTAGTCATTGTGAAAACTCCGAGTTTTCCTATTCTAAACTTTGCAGGTGAAAATCATCACTCTGAATTGTTCAGCAACAAATGCAGCACCTGCAACATTTGTGGAATATATAAGAAATGACTTTTACATACTAGCACCTGGGATGTTTCATTTTATACAAACTGAAGTTTCTGTGTAGACTTT